TACATCCTGCTCAACGTGGCCGCCGGTTACCTCTACGGCTTCGTGCTGGGCATGGGGCTGATGGTGCTCGGCGTCCTCGTCGGCACCCTGGTTGCCCACGTGGCCTGCAAGCGACTGTTGGCCCGCTGGGCACGGACCAGGATCCAGGGCAGCGAGACCCTCAGTGCCATCGTCCGAGTCGTGGAGGGCGGCAGTGGCCTCAAGGTGGTGGCTCTGGCGCGGCTGACGCCGATCCCCTTCGGGCTGCAGAATGCTGTCTTCGCGGTGAGTCCCAGCCTGGGCGGCGCGGCCAGGGAAGAAGCTCTGGCTGGAAGGATGTCTTTTGGTGTAGCAGCCGTTGTCAGTGGTGGAGGTTGCCTCCTTTCCCGGCAAGAAGGCTTGGGTTCTGCCTCTTTTAGGTACAGTCACAGCACCCCCCTCTACCTGCTCTTGCTAGTGGCTCTTCTGTGCTTTCGGAGGGACAGCAGGCAGGTTTCTGAGGTGCCGCGCTCAGTGACATTGTGTTAGAGTTGCTCCCTGGCTTTCAGGACTATATTCTGGTGTTAGAAACAAGCACCTAGATGCTGCATAGCAAAATCTGCAGAGAACTCGACAGTTACCAAGTGCCTGTGTTTTTAAAGTAATTCAAGTGGGAGGAAAAAGCCCTGTCAGATCTTCCTAAGCTACTTAATATAAGTAATCATGTTATTGGAAAGAAAGAAGTGGATAGATTGAAATTTTTGCTCAGTGTGATTGGTGTTTGTAGTATGCATCTGGCAAATCCATACAGAGTGTTCAGTCCATGCATGCAGGAGAGGCTGCAGATTTTGGGCAGAGCAGTAAGGTGCAGTTACAGACCTGAAAAGGGACTGTACACCAGAGTGGCACTGGAAGTTAGTTTATACTTGAGTTTGGAAAAGGGTTCTTCTTGCTTTTCTTTCTACTTTTAGATGAAGATTATTTGTTCTCTTTGAGTCTCTGCAGGTTCATTTGTTCTCTTTGATCATCTTAAATGAGAAAGTGAAGAAGAACATAGAGGGTACTCTTTTTGAGTACCGTCATGTTGATGATGACAATTTCAGACCCTCATCTCTTCCCGAGTCTGAAGGATCTGTTCTTGGATGTGTTTTATGCCTCAGTTTTATCTGCTAACTCGGTGGAATCAAAACAAAGCAAAACTGGTTATGAAATACTTTAATTGTTTATCAGTAACTCGTATGTTCTTTAATGTAAGCAATGATGTAAACAAGTGTTTTGCTCTGCAGCTTTCTTGTAGTACACACCTCCTTTCCTGTCTGCAGTCTCGATCCTTTCTGAAGTCCTTGCTTAATTTTGACAGAATCTTCTGACTGAAATTAGTAGGTCACTGAATACCAGATTTGATATTTAAGAAAAAGTAATCCATGCAATTTTGAGGGGTTAGCACCCACATCAAGTATTTAAATTTGCTGTATGTAAAACTGTGTGTGCTAGGGCATGCATGTCCAGAGCTGTAATCTCTGTATGAGCTGTGGTAACTTATAATTTCTTTTTAAGCAGATCCTTTTACTACTTCTGTGCTAAGACTGAGAAACTGAACAGCTGAACCTGTGCTGTAGTATTTATTTGCCTATATTACTGCAGGACTGGGGAAGCTTAGACCTGTGCACAAGGGAGCAGAGTTCCCGCTGGAGCGCACGGTCCCAGTGTAGCAGATGAAGCTTCTGCTGTAATGTGACCCTCCTAAGGTGGGGAGACCTGGTTGTTCACAGCTTCTGGGTGTCACTTGAAGTAGTCAGCAGATGTTTTAGAGTAATACTGGATCTGAAGAACAGAGAGAGAATTAACTTAGTTAAAATTATTTCCTCCCTGGCATAACCATTTTGTGGAAACACGATTCCACAGAGTATTTGGGCCAGTTCAGTGGTGAAATGATGCTGTAAATCAGTGGTTTGCATTCTCCGTGTTCCGCAGGCTAAATAATTTTCTTTCCAAGTGGACGGTTTCAGTGTTAAAATAACAGATAGGAAATGAGATGAAACCACTTGAGTATGCCAAGTAACATGGGTGTGCCTTGCTAATATTAGTTTGGGTTACATTTGTTGCTCTAGATTTACTACTTTGTAGCATAATCAAAAAAAGCATATCACAGTGGACTTTTCATTGAGGACATATAAAATGACGTGCTGGATTACTGAAAAATAAAAATGGTGTCTGCAAATCTGGGAATTCAAGGCAGTTTCTCACTGTGAGACAAGTTTAAGCTACATGTAGTTTTCTACCTACACAGACCAAGCTGTCATTAACTTGCCATTTGACTTATTTGAAAACTTAACACTCCTTAAAAAAAGTTTAAAATGCATTCATCCATGTTAGCAACTTCAGGAATGAATTTGAAAAGATTTGCTTTTAATAGTGAAGAACAGTAAACTTAAGAAAACCTACAAATCTCTAATTTTCCACCAGTCTGGTCTATGTATGTTTTCTATATTTTAAATGATATTTATAAGTAAACTGGAGATACTTAGAATACTTAAATGAAAGGGAAGGAAGTAAGTGACACATGAGGTCCAGGGCAAAGCATAACCTTGATGTGAGCAATGTCATCTGCAGGACTGGGATTAAATGGGTTCTCAAGCACTTGTTCAGTGGCACGTACCATCTGCTGAGGGTTTTCACGGGGTCGAATTGCAGGAGCTGTAGAGGAGGACAGAAGAGCTTCTTAGCATTTAATTAGTGAGAGGATCATATCAATTGAAATAGCCCAAGAAGAAAATTAACACAAATTCCTTAGCATCTCACCAGCCAGAAACTAAGATCTTGCTTCTTATAAGGTCATTCTACTGCTCTTTGGGAAAGTGCCGATAGCAGAGTGGTAGGGCAATGCATTTGCTTGCCTTTCTGAAGGACCAGAAACTTGTTAACTAAAGGCATGTTTGCATTTCTCTTTGAGTGGGTTTTGCTTAATCGTTGCGCCTGTGATGCCAGGGTGGCCTGGGCTGCTGATAACTCTTACTGACATGTTTGCCCATGCACAGCCCTCTCCTCTCAGCAACTCTGAGTGTTTTGAGGGCAGGTCTGTAAGGAGACCTGGTATGCAGGTTATCATTTGCATCCCATGGGAGGGTTCTTGGAGCAAGGTTTGTGCAAAGTGATTATTTGTAGTGCAGATGTAGGTTAGATTGGAATTCATATTTCTTTTTTTCCCATCTTTGAGAAGGATATCACATGGAAGAAATAATCTGACTAAAATATCTGAGTGTTCAAGCGTGCATATCTGGTTCCAGAAATGCACACAGTAAATCAAGAGTTGAAGAAATGGTGCTTGCTTTGCAGGAATATGCAGGTTGCTTGCTCTGCTTGTTGGAAAGTTGATAGCTGGTTTGATTTTCTTTTTTATCTATTTATTTGGTACCTTTAAAATTATTATTAGAAAATAAAGAGCGTCAGAGTTATCCTTTGCTCTTGGTTTCATAAGTTGAGGGGAGAGAAATCTGCTGCAATCCCCAAAGGCATGTGAGCCCCCAACAAAGTCCTGACACAAGCGTTTATTCTTTGACAGCACTGAACCAAAGGTGTCAGCTGCAAAGAATACACAAAAGTTCTACTGGTCAAAGCCTGTCCAAGGCTTAGTGGGAGGGTTTCTGGCTAATGCTTTTGTTGCCATAGCTGTTAGGTAGTTCTTAATTGTGTTTAAATGCATCAGTATGTCCCATAACACAGTTGCATCCATGCTTGCTTTGTAATTTCACTTTTAATGTTTGCTGGCTAGAGCTTTCATTAGAAACAGAGTCCTGGTAGCTGCTGTTGGTCTGCTTGGCCACGCAGATGCCAGTCTGGCAGGTTTATAGAACAACAGGTGAAGTTCAGACAAAGAAAGGAAGGGTATAGGAAGCTGTAAGTTTTATTGAAAATTTCTCGGCTTTCTTAGCCAGGTACACTGTCCACTTTTTGTGCCTTCTGGGAGAAGGGATATGATTGTAGGTCTAAATTTTGCAAACCAGTTGTTGAGGGCACTTTAAAAATCCCCCCCCACACACACTCCTTTCCATCCCCTCCTTAGCTTTCATTTCAGTGGAAAGCACAAGCACAAAGTCCAGTGTATCCATTGGCTGTTTCCAAATGGAGACTATCTCTCTCATGGCTCAGGAGGTCCAGATGCTTCAGGACAGATCCAGATCTGCAGACATGTTGCTCTGCAATCAAATATCCTTAATACATATACAGAAATGAGAGAGGTGCCTGGGAGTGTTGAAAGAGTCTTTGGGAAGTTTCCCAGCTCCATTAGATTTAATGATAGTGTCCTACTTAGGAAGTCTTGCCTCCCTCCGTGTTAGTATTTCAGAGACTTCTAATAGCAGCTTCTTCATTCCCTTGGCAATATGAGAAGTTTGGGCTGTGCGTTCTTATTACATGGCCCAGATTACAATAATGTTTTTTTTTAAAAAGTCTTTTTTAAAAGCATTGGTCAATGTAAAGTTCTGACATAATTATGTAATGCTTTTTCATTATAAATCTAAATCGATCTTGTCTAGAAAGGGATATATATTATTTGTTGTGCTGATAAATATTTCAGTCTGTGGGAAGTTTAATTTGCAGTGTGAAGTTTGGAATTGGCTTATTGAATCTTGTTCCAGTGAATTATTCTTAATCTTTATGCTTCATTGCATTTTGCTCCTCCACTGCCCTTCATTCCTCCCAGAAACTTTCCACTGATGGTGCTCCGAGAATTCAGCACTGTGACTTTCACAGTAACCAAAGTTTATTTTAAGAATAGCATGTTGAAATGAGTAACATTGCTGCTATTCTCTGGTCTTCAACATTGTGCAAAACTGTCAAGGTCAATAATTTCCATGTAGGCTCCCAGTGTTAGGACTGTTCTTAATTAGATCTTGTTTTATTACTATGTGATCAACCGAATCGTCTGGAAAATTCCTTAGACTGCTTGTTTCAAAATCACCCTTTTCATACTCATTTATAACCCAGAGTTTCCTCGTTTTCTTTTTTCCTGTGTAAGTATATTTTGACCTCTTGACTCTTGCATTTAATATTTACTGATGGCTACTGATACTAATTTAGCTGGGTCTGTGTACTTTGTTCCATATAAACTCATATGTCCACATATTGACTTAGAACAGAAATTTCACAGCAAAGAGGGGAAACTATCTTGAAGCATTACTAGTGGTTTTGCCAGAGAAATGAACAAAGCTATAGCCATGTGTACTGTTTTGCACTAATTGAAGTGTGATGCAAAATATCTTTGGTAGAGAATCTTAATGATACCCATGTATATCAGTATAGATACAGGTATTGCCCATAGGGATCACTGGTAGATAAATGTGTCTTAATGAGCTGTATAACTTCCATTGCAGAGACAAATTGTATCTGCCATTCTGTTTACCTAGATCATATTTAATACAGTGACATTTTGAACAATTACCTCTTGTGTTATTTGCCATACATGTAAAATGCAAAACTAATAGATTTTTGCTTTTGACCTTCACATTTGATAAAGTAATTTCTTCCCACAAGGGAATTCTCATAAATTCAAGAGTTCTGTTCACCATGTAGAAATAAATATTTTCAATGAACTGTGTAGTTGCTTACTTAGATAATGACTTTTACACAGAGATGTTGTGAAATAAAATCTCGTAACTTAAAAAAGGCCAGATAAAAACTAGACACATACTGTTCCACTGTATTCCCACTGAGCATGAATCTAAGTTTCAGTGAAGGAATGTAAGAAATTCTTGAATGATTTTGCAGGGATGGTTGTGGGAGCAGCAGTCTGGTTGTACACATAGATTGTGTTAGAGCTGTGCTTGATTTCTTACTCTGTCTTTTTGCTCAGATTACAGATTTGTCACTACCCAACTACCTGATGGCTTCTTCACTTGGGCTGCTTCCTACTCAGCTCCTTAACTCGTACTTGGGCACTACCTTGCGCACCATGGAGGATGTGATTGCAGAGCAAAGTGTTAGTGGCTATTTTATATTTGGTTTACAGGTAAGTTAGAATAATTGCTTTCATAGACTTTGGTAACCATAACATCAGTCTCTTTGCAACTTCTGTTGACGGGTAGATACCGAGAAAAAACGGAGTTTTGATGTACTGTTTTCTTTTGATTGTGTTTTATTCTGTTAGAGATGTTTAATTCCCTCATACCTCAGCATGACACAAAGCAGAACTTACTCAGTGTTCTCTTTTTTGACACAGTTTTGGTAGGTTTTCTTCT